AAAAATGTTGAGATCAAGGCTCAAAGGAGCCTGTAGAGATCAAATTCATCCTCTATCTAAACTTATGTCCTCCGATTTGAATTCGCTGAGAACCCCGGATCATCCCTGTGTATGTAGGTAGGTATGTGTGAGCAACCCAGATTCGCTCCACGCGTGCTATTGAAAATGCGTGCAAATAAAGACCACCAGATGCCAGACGCGACTTCCCATCGCCGGGCATCATCTTCTCCTCTACCGCCCAGACCTATCTGGAAAGACGTAAGACCGCCACCCCGTCGCGAAGAGAAGGAACTTTTGTTACAGAGTACTTTTGAGCGCAATCCCCCTTTCTTGACATAGCACCATGTGAGAAAACGCCTCGCCCGATATGAAACAATCCATCATAAAATCCGATAAACGTTGCCGTAGAGACAAATGGTCGAAAATCCATGCCCATGTTCGTGATATGTCGAAATCGCAAGGAAGATAAAAGTGCATGCCGCAAGAGTGTTGCTAAAGCGCTTAACGAGCATGGGTATAGAAAGAAAATTAGGTCGTGAAACACAAAGCCCGGTCCTTTATAAGCGCTAGTGAATGAGGCAGAAAGGACTTTTCCGGATCCAGAACGCGTAATGCAGGCGAAAAATATTGCCAGCTCACCCAACTACAGTCTGGGGTGTAAAGTGAGAGCCCATCATGTAGGTGGACACGTTTTGACGTGAACAGCCGACACAGTGACATCCATACCCATGCGAAGGTTCCCACGGTGCTTGGTTCCACGGGTTGTAGAACGAAGGAGCAACTGAGTGCAAGGGCGGTAGCGAGTATTGCGAGAATTGAGACGTGCGACCATGAGAATGTGAGCTATAGCGGTTGGGGTACTGCATGTCCTCCATGGACTGGTAGCGCGATTGCGCACCGAAGAAGTCGGGCTGAGTATGATCCTGGCGATTCCAAGGATCAGCCGACATGTAAGGAGTGCCCGATGACGAGCCGAAAGAACCTGAGGATAGTGGTGTGAAGGTTCCGTGAGATGTTTTGGTGTACCCAGGTTGAAAAGAAGCGCGATTCGATGATGCGGACTTTTGCTGGGGAAGGTTGGTGTTCAACGGCGAGAGCTTTGCCGGTCTAGACGGAGCGGTGGCGCGAGCATCATACTCCTTCCACGCTTTAATCCACAATGTAACACCGTTAGGATCAGACGGGTCAGCGTGCAGATCAAATCCAATCAAGGAAAGCCATTTGATCTCCAGAGTATTGAGCTCGGAGACCTTGATGCCGCTGACATCGGACCACGACCTGTTGATGAAAGTATTATCATCGAGGAACTTGCTACCAAGTATCATCGAGACAGCCAGAAGGCGGTAGAGCTGGTTGTCCGTCTTTTCGATGCTCGAAGGGAAGTCCCGCATGCGCACAGTCAGGTAGTGCAGACTGAGCAGGATCGTAGCCGATGGGAGTCGAGTCGCAGAGAGGACCTGGAAGACCCACTTGCGGAAGGAGGGGTGCACCGTGGTGCCCGGCTGGATGCTTCGACAAATGTCAATATCTGCAAGGCAGATGTTGGACGAGTGTAGTGCATACATTCCCTGTGCCACTTCGGACACAAAATCCGTCATACGTTCCATTTCATAGTCCAGCTTAGCGGAAACACCGCCAGTGGGCTGTTCCTCCTTCGTGGCAGCCTGTTGAGGCTGTTCGCCGCCCTGAGCGGGAACACCGGACGCATACTGGTGGTAGTAGTCACGATCGGCATATGCAGCATCCTGCATGCGCAGAGGAGGTAGAACAGGCGCACCCATGGGTTCGTAGTAGCTGCTGATAGGTGGCAGATTCTGCGGGTTGCAGAATGATTGACGGTTGAACGCAGAGGGCGGGGGATACCTATGGGTGTATTCCATCGCACTATCGAGACGTGCAGGTACACCCTGAGACGGGGCGTAGCTGTCGTAGGGGTACTGTGTCGAATGGCACGACTGGTCGTAGGAACCTGAATAAGGTGGTGTGAGAGGAAGTTGGCCCGTCATGGCCTGGGGGTAAAAAGCAGGCATGATGGAGGCGATGATCTCTAAGAAGAAACGGTGTGTTTACACAACCTGAGTGAATGTCAGCGCCAATGAGACAAGAGCACGCTCGTTGAGAAGGAGCTGACCGTTTCTTCTCTTCCTCGAAGGATGAGGAGCTGTTGCTTTTGCTCCTCTTCTTCGCTCAATTCATGCGTCGACCAGGAATACCTGTGTGGTTAAGGAGGGTCGCAGGTCAACTGGAGACTGTTGATGGCTAGAGTGATGCTAGGTTTTGAGAGATACGAGAGACCTTGCCAGGACAGAGGAACGGACTGGTGGATCCGATGCGTTGTGAGGCGAGGTGTGATGTGTGACGTTGAGAAAAGTCTTCACGTTGAATCCAGGCGAGACTAAGTGAATAGGTCGTCTGGGGCGGGTGAAGGCGACTGTCTGCGAGTTGAATCAGAAGATTCGGCCGGGTCCTGCAGCAACGCTTAGTCCTGACCAAGCGCTGGCTATCGTAGAATAAAGCAGAGGTCGAAAGGCAGGTCTGATGCAATGCAGAAGAGAACTCAATCCGGCGTCCAACAAAGCGTGGGTGGATGAGGAATGTGTGAAGGCTCGGTGTTCACCTCTAGGTCAGAGGACGTGAGGGAGGCGGAGGTCCAGATATCCTTTGCGAACAAAGAGACGACAACGACAAACTCCGAGGAAGAAAAAAGGCCAACGACGAACGAAGAGTGTCGAAGCAAGTTCTACGACGGGTGGGAGGAATTTCGGAGCGCGTGTGAGTGTCGACTGTCGCGGAGGACAACGGTGAACGTTTCGAGGTGCAGTGACGGGGTGTGCGGGTTTTTGGGGATTCCTGGCGCGGTGAGGTGTGTGGTGCGTGCTGGTCGGTGTCGGTGGTGGCTGCTCTTCACGAGTAAACCCGCCCAACCGAATCGAGCCGAAATGAAGAGTGCCGTGCCAAATGAATTTTTTTTAGGTCCCGACCCTGTCGCAACGACGGCCGCAGCGGGTACCAAACGAAAACAGCCTAGACAGAAACCGTAGACGGGTCTCGTTTCGCCGTGCTCTGCTCGTCTTCCTTTTCCTAAAAAATGGTTTCCGTTGTTCGCAGACAATGTGACACTCCCTGTCTGGTGGGATGGGCTACGTTTCACTTGGAGCGCAGGGGAGAGCGTGAGGCGAGGAAAAGGGATGATGGAGTGCAAGGGAGGTGCGCCGGGCGGGGGGGGGAGAAAAGCAAAGGCGTGGAGCGGCGACTGCCTGGCTTGTGCTGGTTGCTGTCTGGTAGAGGCGCAAAGGGCAGTGAGATCAGAAAGAGGGTCGGGGTCGCAGGGTTGGGTTGGGAGGCCTGTTGGCGATGCGAGACGGAGGGGGAAGCCACACTTTGGTGCGCACGCACTCACCCGCCAACAAAAAAAGAGGTCAGCAACCACAGAAGGATCTGGGTGACGCTGTGAGTCTTGCTGTGGTGATGCGGTGATCGCGCTGTGTCATTCGCCGGCATCCGACTGGCTGACAGAAAATAAGTGCGCGTGCGTGCATGGACTGATCCGCCCACACCCCCGAGACCCCTCGGATTGCCCACGACCGGAGAAAGAAGAAAAACCCTTGTGACGGGATCCGGAAGTCTCAGCGTAAAAGACTGTCCGGAAGGGGCGTGGCCGGACAGCTCACGGTACGGATGAGCATGTACGATGCCAATAGACGCCGCCAGACACGCGTTACGGACTGTTCTTACTGCTGCCTGCGAGCTTTTCCAGAGATGATCCAGTCCGCCACCGACTGCGCCTACTATGCTTTCCAGGACACTTTCTCGCTACTGTAGAGCATTCGCACTGGCTTTGTCAGACAGAGTCTGACTGGTGATGTAAAGCGAATAGGCTCCTGCAATGTCGCGGTGCAAAATTCAAATTACTGCGTCATGTCCGCTTCTGCTCTGCTCTGATCTGGCTTGGCCCTTTCCCTTGAGCAGGCTTCTCCGCACCGTGGCTGCGATCTCCGCCGTCCCGAGCTGCAGCGCTAATCAGTCATCGAGGGTGAAAAGGATGTTCGTGGCCGGTCACAATGACAGCAGCTAGGCCACTCTGACGTCTCTGTCTCTACTTAGTGGAGCACAATATATCTTCGGGCGCCCGTCCGTGTGTTCTTGTCGCTGTGATGTGGCATGACTCGGTAGGGTGCTCAGGCTGTCCGGTGGCCTTGCACCATGACCCTTCCCCGAGGCAACACGTCGATGTCGGTAATTCACGGCCAGGTACTTGGTAACTAACCTTTCGTCCAACCGGCCTGATCTCTCTAACTGATCAGCTGTCCACTCTGCGTACCGTACTTCTTACCGATCACAAACGTTAGATTCTATGTTTGTGGCTGACCTCCAGCTTCTTCCTTATGGCGCATCAAGGCAACAGTCGTCAAACGTTTGCTCTGTCCAATGTAGCCACACACGTGCCGCATCGGTGATGGATTGGGTGAAAACGCGTCGTATGCTGCGCCGCTGTGTGGGATTCGCGTGCAAGCCCCTTTCACGAGCATGGTATTCTCGTAGTCTTGGTCAGGGTATTCCGACCGGCCACTTCTGCTACTGCGCGTAACCGTCCAAGCGGCAGCTGACTTTGTCATCTATTCTGGTCTCCGATCGCCACTGGCACAAGTCTCGCGAAGATGCCACGAAGCTCAATCCCAAAAATACTTCAGCTGTGCAACGATATGACGATCCTGCCCCTCGGTCACAACGATGGCTGTCAAGAGTCTACGGCCTAAATTTGTACACCCGTGGGTATGGACTGCCCAGCTCGGGCTACTCGTACTTTAATGAGCAGCAAGCCGTTTAATCAAAACCACCGTCGAAGTAACGTCGCAGGACACCCAATTGTGCTTTTGATATGGAAAATGAATGCCAGCGTGACGAAAACGATTCCGTTTTGTTGATCGAATGACGGTGATCGTTTGAAGATGGGTTGATGCCAAAAAAAATAGATACGCAAAAGTAAACACATGGAAATGCGACACCGATGGGACTCGAACCCACAATCTCTGCCAAGCTCACGAGCCGGAAAGCAGCGCCTTACCATTAGGCCACGGTGCCAGAATCTGAGTGTGCTCAGACTGAAGCCTTTGACGACGCAATCCAGAATAGGAAAGTGGATAATATAATATATATACTCACACCTTGGTGCAAAAAGTCTTATTCACGCCTAGCAATGCTAAACCTTTGCTGGTCTCGCACATCTCACATCCGTTGTACTAGTAATTCAATATCTAAAGTATAAACCTTACTCAAGTATTGATCGAATACATGTATCCTCGTCGTGCCACCAGGGCGTATGAATAGCACAGCTTTCGTTGAATGGGTTTGCACCACGGGTGATAAAAGTGATCTTAATGATCATTCCAAACCGTTGCTAGACTTCACCGGTTCGGCCAAGCGTGCATCGAGCCCACTGCGCTCTCACTGAGGACCCCAAAGGACAATAGATCCACCGCTGAAACGGCGATGCTGATACATGAGAAGCATTCAAGTGGGCCTGCAGACAGGTAAACAAAATAGCGTGCGAACGGAAGCGAAGAGATAAGCAAAGATGGAGAATGAGAGCCACACAAGTGAGCTAGCTCGTAGGCAGGCCGACAGGCAAGCGAGGAGGGGATTGAAGTGGGAAGCGAGAAGCGAAACGAACAGGAAGGTGAACAGGGTGGCAAATAGTCGGGTAGTCAGGCCAGAACGCTCACGGGCAGATCAGCGTGAAAGCTGGTGCGCATGGAGACAGACTCATAGGCAAAGATGCAACCAAGCACTTACGAGAGCATACAGGTGTATAGATCGTCAGGCAGCGGGGCATGTGAATAGCGAGGCACATTAGGAAGCAGATTGCTGCACAGATACATACCTACACAGGCGAAGGCACAAGCAAGCGGGAAGCAAGACAGGCAGTGATGCATTCAGGTGTGAACCTAGTCAGCCAGAAAGGCTAGTATGTATATAGTTGCGGGCAAGCACAGTGACAGTAATTGTCACAGCGGGTACACGCGCGTCAAAAGTATGCATTCAGTCGCAGATCGCACTCCATTAAATAACCCTTAGACCCAGACTCTGGCAGACGGCGGAGTCGTCCTCGGCAAGTAAGCTCTCCTGCTCTGGAAGATTGCTGGGAAGATCCTGTCCATGAAAGAAGCCATCGCTCGAAAGACGTCGTGATGTTCGTACCTTTTCCAGTATGACCACTGTGGAGCATGCTAACTCTTCCGATTCGGGCTTGGACTTCCCTGCAATAGGAGTCGGTATTCTCATGAGAAGTCCGAACAATCCTTGGACGTTCATAGCAGCTTGGACCATGAACGGCGGCCACAACTTGATACCGAAGCCTCCCCTGAAGCCTCCTTGACGAGCGAGACTTGCAAGATCAGGTCGTGCGGCAGATAGCGGTAGGCCAGAAGGTATCGCTAATTCCGTCTGTCCGTCGTCTTCGGCCGTGGCTCTGGAACCCCAGATGGTCTTGTGAGTAGTGAAGAGCGCATAAACATTGATGAAACCGTGGAGGTAGGAAAAGAGAATGCCGCAAGGAACGAAAACACAATCCTGAGGATGGCGAGCCAAATGCGGGAGAAGCTTGACGATCTTCGAGAAGAGAATCCATGCTACTAAGAGATTTATCACAGTGACCCTCGCAGTGTCTTCGAGATCAGTTGTAGCCGCTTGTAGCAAAACCAGCAAGGATCCGTCCATCAGAAAAGCTGGGGTTTGGAATTGCGAGAGGTAGACTGCGTATAAGGTCCACAGGTGTTTCCTGTACCAATAATCTTCCTTAGCCATGACAATAAGGTTGCCGCGCCAATGTCCTCGAGCCCAACGAATGCATTGACTAAAGTATTTGGCGCCTTCCTCGAAAGTGGTCTCAATAGTGCAGTCTTTGTGGAAATTGAGCTTGATGTTCCAACCCCGCGAGTATATGAATCGAGTCAGCGCCTTGTCGTCGTCTACCATCAGCTTGCGACCCAGAAAGCTGTCGTTGCAGAAATACTTATAAAACTCTTCATTCTTGAGAATGGCCGTGCGAATCGCCTGTGTACGGCCCGAAAGGGTCGAGATGCCACCGTCAATGTAATTGGTCGCTCCAGTGTTGAAGTTGCGTCGTTCCAGATAGCTGGTTCCGAGGAAGTTCCACACGTTAGGTTTGTTCGTACGACGATTACGCTGGCGTGGTCCCGCAGCACCAACGATAGGGTCCTCGAAACAACTGAGCAAATGCTTGGGCAAGTCGACTGAAGGATAGAGGACATCATCGTCGATAAAGAATGTGATTTCAGTTCCGACATGCTCGAGTCCCTTGAGCATTTGGCGACGCTTATTGAGTTGTGGAACCCCTAGAACAGTCACTCCGCTCATGCCGCGAAGCTTGCAAGCAAATTGAACAGAGTCGACATTGTCATCCGATGTCACAATGACAAGTTTGGCAGGTCCACAGTCATGGACTCGTTGCAGGCACTCCAGGGTTTCGGCAGGCCGGGAAAAAGTGGTTGGCATAACGAAGGTGACGTCTTTCAGAGTGAACGACGGTGCAAAAGGCAGGGCATGGGGCTTGAATCGGACGAGTGCAAGGGCATTGATGAGAAGGCGAAAATAACGAACGAAGAACGAAATGAAGAAAAGAGCGAGAAAGGCTTTTGACGAGAGAGTGACGGACATGGTGGCAGAATTCAGTACCGGACTGGGGCTTCTGAGCACGATGAGTATGGTCAGATCGAACGAATTCGATGGAATCGAGACGACAATGTATAGTCTTGGACACGAGAGTTGTACAACCACATCTTATGCGAATGAAATCGAGCGAGTACAGAAACAATTTTCGCGGACAAAACAATCAAGAGATTTGTCAGTCGAGGCAATGATTCTGTGGTCCTTTTTGGTCGATTGAATGTTTTGATTTCAAGTTGCTGAATATCATAAGATTTGTCATAGTGAGTGGAGCCTGTACCGACGTCAAAGCATTCGCTGCTTGCTAGTCGTCAATCAGACGACCATATCCAATCCTTTAGGTCCGTTCCAGTAAAGAGCATGGCGGGAGTTAATTCCATGACCAATAGGAGTACGTATGCTGGAGATGAGCTTTGCAGGCTTTGCTTATATACCGAGATCATTCGACGCTCGTCTCGTGGAGCAAATTCCACGGCATCAGAACAAGGGACGCTCACTTGCTCCAAAGCGGCAGCGTGGTAGGCGATATGTTACTACGCCGTCAATCGGCCATAGCGCTGGCATCGGTGAACCATGTCCGACGTATCGAAGGTAGGTCAAGAATCACCATGTCTTAGCATCGGGGAAGCTTGAGCATGACGGGTGATAGATGTTCTTGCGACACTTTTTGTGCTTTTGGTGGAAAAGCCATAAAACAACCAGTTAAGACGGGCTTTCTCGTCAGCGCTCAATTGCTGCGCAATGTCTCCGGATTATTTTTCGTCGGAAGAAATACTGTATGCTTTTTGCTATCCTATTTGTGCCGGGGGATGAGACATTTTGCCGATGTTCTCAGAGATAGTCAGCCTCAGAAAGAGCATACTCGTGCTGGCTCCGGGCTTGCACAACGCAAATTTGTCACGTAGGGACAGACAATTGCCGAGGACTAAAATCCAGCCTGTCAAATTCTTGCAAGAGTAGCGCCACAATGCCTTGCGCATTTCGAGACAGTAGCGAGTCGTCGGAAGTATCATTCTGCGTCTCTGCAATCCGAAGCACACTGACAAATGCTTTCGCTTGCGCTTGTGATCCAATCTTTTGGATTGTGTCGGAGAGGGAGACCAAGAACTCCACTACCCCCTCACCATAATGAGTTTCCGCAGCCTTATCCTGCGGCAATTCCAAATTCTGTGCGAGATTCAACGCACTGTCTATCGAAACGAATGGGGCGTAGCGTAATTTGAGGCGGCTTATTTTGACAGTCTGAGGATCGAGGTCGGACTCTTGCCATCGTGGAAAACTATCCAGGAATTTAAGAATGGCTTGACGGTCTGCTTCTGTGGCACCGTCTTGTACGATCAATGCATCGATCAGTTGCGATCCAGCAGAGTTCGCATAGACCACACGATGTGTCTCATCCGGGCGCACATATCGCATGAATGCCGTCAATGCTGGCTCGAGACTCTTCCTGAATCTTTGGATCTCGTGAGCGACATAGTAGCTCAGCAGCATGCTTCTGGGAGAATGTCTCTCGCTGTCGAGAGTTGGGTCTACGCTTGCTGCCTCAATCCATTTTTGTACAGCATCTGCTCGACCTTCCCGCAGGAGAAATCCTACGACTGACTGGTAAAGCCTTGGGTCGAAATCGAAAATCTTTGACTGGGCAAGGTCGTTCGCCCAGAGCCATTGCAGCGCTTTGGTGCCAGGCTTGTACTGTTCTATGGCCTTCCGACGCCCAGGGGGGCTGGATCTGTGAAGCAAAGACCGAAAGGCCGCAAGGCATTGCATGACAGTCGTGAGCGAAGCGCTTCCATTGGCCACAGAAGCTTCAAGAATCTCAATAGGGTGGCGAGCGGCGGAGCTGCCAGTTGACTGTGGTCCGGTGTGAGCGAACAATGGATTGGTCAAGACCGAGGCCACATGCTTTTCCGTCAGAGTAAGAGGCGACGATGTTTTGCTTGGAGCCGTGGAGACATGCTCGTGAGGATGTTCGACATCTAGATGATGCCGGAACGAGGTGGTCAGCGCATTCAAGAACTGTTTTGACTCCTTCGGCGAGAGAAGCACTTGAGGATGGATCTTCGAGACTAGATTCTTGAACAAATGCGTCGATGATGGCTTCATGGTCGGTGGGTGTGCTGGCCTCAACAGGAAGGTCGGCGCGATACTGTGGTGATAGGAAGATGAGGATCAGATGGCGTGACGTTGGTGAGGGCACGAGCTCGAATCAGGTCCGGGTCAGTCACGTGCGCTTTTCGGTCTGAAGCGCGCGTTTGTGGTTTGCCAAACCCCCAAGACTCCGGGGTTGTGCGTCTTTGCTGCAAGCCCTGAGTGAAGATAAAGTCGACTCCTCCACTCACTCCCAATCCTCGTACACATGTTTGCACTGCTTTAGCAGCTCTTTTCCAGCTTTCCGG